GTTTTAATTTTCATCAAAGAATCACTTAGAAAAGACTAATTTAAGCGTAAAATTAAATGTGAAATTGATTTAGATTTCACCGTGAAACGTACGACGCTGTTGAATTTGCAGATGTACGTACGGGAGTTTTTGCAAGGAGACTTTGACTTTCTGGAAAAATGTGAAACTTACGGAGTATGCAAAATATATCAAATGTCCGAAATAAACTGATAATTGTAATAAATCAGACAGATGACATTATTGTGAATGTCATTTCTTTGCCACCAGTCACTCCAAAAATAAATGTTCCACAGACCGGAAGAATTTATCGTCGTGAGCTTTAATCCTCCGACTACTGAACCTCAACGTCCTGTGCCGGGGTCATTTTGACCCACACGGATATCCCACCAATACATATTTAAGATGGCTCACCGATACTGTACAGAGTGACGATCGCTCGAGACCGAGGCCCTCACTGATATTGTACCAACACAGTGACAGACACCCGACTCATATAGAAACATGTAGGAGTATAAGGAACAAATAATAGTCACATGAATAATAAAGTTATATACATTTACTATACATTTATGTCATTCACTGTCAGGAACGTCTTGTGCAGATTGAGCAAAAGAAGACAAAGAAAGATTGCTCGTTGGCAATGAAGACATTGCGTCGACAAATAGAAACAACGGAAAAAGTAATAGAGAGAACAAAAATAATGATAAAAGCAGTAAATTAACAGTGAAAATAGTAAAATATTAAAATAATGCTAAAAACTAAAATCTAAGTAGTAAGTACAAAAATAATATAAAATACTAAATACTAAAAAGAATAATACAAACTATTAAATACTAAATATTAAAATACTAAAAACACTAAAATATAAAATATTTGCTTCGATTTGCTGTGTACACGTCTTTCTTCCTCAGAACGTTACCAGAAACTACGTTTTTTTCGTCTTTAGTCGTCGTCACTTCGGCAATTTGGCGAACACGTGGCACACAGCCGTATGATGCGTTAGTGCGATCACTAACACAAGCAACTCCCAGCACAGGTCAAAATTGTGACCCCGGCACAGTAGGCGGAGGGTTAAAAACCAAGGAAACGTGAAAAATCGCGACACGTGCCCGTTTTACACCCAACGGTAGCGTCCGAAAATTGGGAGAGATCGATGGGATTTTTCGCTGCGACGCCCAGGGGGGGAAATTCAAGCAACGAACGGTATGGCCGACAGCCGATCGCCGTGGCGCGATGTCCGCCATAAATTCAACCGGATGCGGCTTAGAGCTGGTGTGCCGGAACTCGACGGAGACGGGCCGAGACTGCGTTCGATGTGCGGCCAGACCGCACACGACGACGCTTGTTTCTCGAACAGGCTGCATTCTGGATACCTGTCAGCGGCACACCGACGAAAATCGTCGTCGTCGTCGCCAGACGAAACCATAATTTCATTGGCTAGCCCGGGAGATACCAGGATTGAGCGTCCCGTTAACCGGACCGTGACGAATTCCCTGGTAAACCAAGTGGATTCCAGGCATTTCGGCCAGGAGCTCGAGCTTTAAGAAACCTTTTTTTGATAATGCGAGGCGAAACTACTCGCCGGGCGAACGCTGTTTCGAAAACGATATGCCTGGTTACTAGACTCGTTAATAGAGTAGAGCTGCGAATCCTTACGAAGCTCGGAACAAGTTTTGCCTCTCGATGAGTCTCGGCATTGAAGGCTTCATGTTGTAACTTTGGACTACGTAGTCTAGGTACGCGTGTTGTCTGTAAAGATGGTCTCGAACAATTTTGAAAATTACTTGCTCGTCGAGACAATACTAACTATCAGGGTATCAGTTTCTGTGATGTATAACAAAGAGACGGAATATTAATATTCTTCAAGCTCCAACACCTTTCCTCTACCCTTTCGATTTATTTTCGTGCTTCGGAAAGCACCTGTGCCACGAGAGTGAAAATTAAAAATTCCATTCATTTGCTGCTGTAGAATATAATTTTAGTTAATTTCTTCCGCCGGTTGAATTCACTGTTGTGTCTACGTGAACGAAAAATACGTAGTCGGGAAAATTGATGAACCTCACCGGCAAGTTCAGATAAATGAAGTTCCACTGGTAATGTAATAACACCAATATACTTCAACTCCAATATGCTTCAAGTTGGAATTGTGAAATATTCGTAGAATAAAAGAGAATAATCTCTAAAATCCTCGTAGAAGATTTACCTTCAGTTTCGTTAATAGAGTTGTGACAGATACCTAGGTTAGGTGCGTGTTATTTAAAAAGAAAAAAAAAAAAAAAAAAGGGAAAGAAGCATGTACGAATAAAATAGATACACGTACGTGTTTTCGCGACGAAGAAAAAAAAACAGAGTCGTGGGGAAAGCCCGATTCATCTTGTTCGAATTGTTCCGTTCTCCAGCTGAAGAATCCATCCTCCAAGTTGCCCGCCGTGCCATTTTTATTTCGCCTTCGGTTTCGTATTTCCTTTTTGCTTCGTTTCCTCTCTAATTCGTCTAGAACCGAGAGCCATTCTACCGTGTGTGCCATTAACCCAAATAATTCTCCGAGAGAGAGAGAGAGAGAGAGAGAGAGAGCAATACTCTTCTCAAATTCCCGCTCTCTTCCAGTCTCCTTTCACCTTTCCTCTTCCTTGCCGCGCAGCTGGACCATTCGATCCTCTGTGAAACAAACGTCGACTACTTTTAATCCACGGAGCGAGAAGAAAGATACATTTAGTGATAATTCTTCATTTTTTTAACACTGGAATGATCAAGATTCAACATCAAAAAATACTAGAGTGGTCGAAACATATCGAGGGGCCAATTTTTGTCATTTAATTATCGTGTGATATTGGAAAGGAATGCAGGAATAAACTACTATAATTATAATAACAATAATAGAGTATAATAGAGTATAGTATTCATTACATTTTTGCTCCTTTATCTATCTACAAGTAACCAAACGAAACAAGTGTCATTTTTTCAGAAACTATGCGACTTTGAATATTTCATTTGAATTAGTCTCTTGATCCAAAATTGGACCATTTATAAAATGTTCATTTGTTCAAAAGGTACAGAGAGTAAACTACTATAATTATAATAATAACAGGGTGTACTAGATTTCGTGACAGTTTTGCTCCTCGACCTATCGGACAAACAAACACAAAAGAAGTGCCATTTTTTCCAGAAATTGTGCGACTTCAACTAACGCTTAAAATAATCAATTTTCTATAAATATCTAAATTTCGCAGATATATATATAATATATAGACTTTTGCGACTGCTGGTTGATCTGTCGCCGTTCGTCTCGCAGCCAATTTAAATTTGCCAAGTTGCGGCGGTAATTGAATGCGTCGCGCCAGTCGCGATATCACTCGCAGTTTCTATTTCCTGCCGCGCGGGAGGATCTTGCCAGACTTTTCGAATTTCAATTAAATAGTTAACCACTATTAAACGGAACGACGTTCGCCCGTACGCGGAGATTATCGGGTGGAATGTGTTAAGCGGTTTCTTCTTCTTCCTTTTTCTTCTTTTTTAATGGCAAGCAATAACGATATTTTAATTAAATTCGTTCGCCGAAAGAGCGCAGAACACCAGGCTTTAAAGACTTTTCGATCGACCGGGGGTTTAAGGGCGCAATTAATGACATTCGATTTGATTTCCATCGGTAAACAACGCGTCATTGGCAATTGTTGTTAATGGACGAAGGGAAATTATCCGGTGATTAAACCCGGGCCCGGGCGTTTTCACCTGTTTTGTCCAAAACTACCGGCCGTTTCCATAATTACAAAACTGCCTCGCTCGCCAACTAATGCTTGATTAATTTGTTATGCAGTTCGCGTAAGCGGTATTATCGCTCGAAAACGCTCGCCACGGCCCGCCGTTGCTTTCCCAACTTTCCTCCGAAATATTATCCCGTATATGGCGTTTTGAAATACTTCCACTTTCGATCACACGTACGATTAGTTGGGCGAAAGCATTCGAACACCTGTGGCAACCTGACATACGAATCTAGCGCAAAACATTTTTACATCTCATCGAGATTGTACGATTGTATCAGCCAAGTTTAAAAAACAAACCAAATATTTCGTAAAGATCAAGACAGAAATACTAAAGGACGACCAATTATTCATTACGTCAGTAAGCTTGAATATTCATCGGGGCCATACATTATGTCTGGCGTTGATTATATGCACGTTCATACATTTATCATACGTTCAAAACGGCCATTGACGTAGCACGCTGATTTTTAGTCTCGATATAGTCTATCCAACCAATGTCTCGCGTCTTTTATAGTTTTAGATTGGTGTCAGATTTCACTGAATTAACGGCAGTGATCATCTTTCATTGATGAAATTCGAAAATATTTTTCGTGCCACGTTATATTTGGAAATTCCTTGCGGTTATCGCGCGTTGCAGTTACAAATCGCAGATAAAAATACAGGCCATTTGAAAAGCGATCGGGCACTAAAACGAGCTGGGCCTCCTCCTTTTTTTCGGCCATCAGACGGTAACATACGAAACTTTACGCGAGCCGTGGAAATTGACTTTCGAACTTGAACGCGTTTACCCCAGAACAGTTGGCAGACTTTACCCTTCCCCGACTCGTATCCTCCTTTTGCTTTCGTTCTCGAAAGTTCGGCCATTATTTTCGTGATTCTCTTTGGGACTGCGCATTCTCCCCAGAGAATTAAAAGCCTACGGTTTCCTTCGTAACTGATAGATACAGTTGATATTATGTAAAATGCAGAAAACTGAGAAGCAAAGTACGAGGTTGCTCGATTTAATCTCTTAAAAGCTCGCTGCATTTCGAGAAACAGCTGCTTTTATTTCATCGTTCTGTAAACGTTCAACAAATTTACATGGAATAATATACACTGCGAGAGTAATATACGACTTTGAAAGATAAAATTTATTAATTTCGCTCGACGGATGTCGTGGACCAGAACTGTAGAATTGGATATCTCTTCTTTTAATATCTTCGGCGAACATCAAATTTGAATTTGATTCAGTAGGTCAGGATGGTTCATATTCCCATTTATAGTCTCGCGTAAAATTAATACTGAATGAAATGTTAATAATTTTCTCATGATTGTCCGATGTTTCGATTCCAATTCCAGTTCTAATCGGCAGAATCGAATCTAAGAAATTTATAAATAAACTATATTATAAATAAAGTATAAAAATTTATATCATCACTTAATAATAAAAGTTCTCGCCTGGTTTTCCGTGTTTCAGGAACGCCTGTCACGATTCTTGGACTCAGTTACGACTGTCGCCGATGTTCGGCTGCATCTGTCCGAACAATCACATGAAAAGACGCTGCGACAGGATCTTCTCGATGGTGAATCACAATCCGTGCGTTGGTGAGTACGAAATCGAGCCCGCTGCGATCGCAGTATTAACTTTTCTATATATTTATATATATATACATATATCTATACATATCTATGTGTACGTGTAAACGTGATCTATTATACGCAGGCATCTGTAACAGTGCGTACACACGAGAGTTATTACTTTGCTTCTCTCATTATTATTATTATTATTATTATTATTATTATTATTATTATTATTATTATTATTATTCTCTGTTTCGTTGTCTCGATTGACCACGAGTCAATTATGTTTTCCTTTTTTTCTTTTTTTCTTTTTCTTTTCTTTACTGTAATCTTGAATGAACGAGTACATATATATTTATATACGTGATGACGTTGGTTAATCGTAACTATATTACTTTAGCGCATCCTTGTGGGAAACGATTGTTGGTGTTGTGAAGTAAACGTGTGTATATTGTTTGAACATTCTTTTCGTTCCTCTTGTTTCATGTACTTACACGACACTCTACAAATTTCTCTTTTACTTTGTCGTCCGATTTCGTCGGGAGGCTCGACCTGCCTCCCCTTTTACTGCCTCCCTTTGTACACGTGTTTGTCTGTACCTTGTTACCGACGTGCTCTGTTCTAGTCTGTTACCTTTTCTTCGATCGATGTGCGTACGCTCCAGAAAACGAAATCAACCTGCTGTCGATCGTGGACCGAAGCATCGTAACTAGCGAGGCTAGTTTCAACGTGTCGTTGCTCGAACGAAAATTAAATATCGCTCGTTTAATCATTTAATGGGACTAGGCCATTGCGATACAGTGGAAACAGTTGAACTATGTAACCATGACGTTGAAAGTAGAAGAAGCACTGTTATACATGGATTTCAAAAGTAATTGAAAGAATCGTTCGAAGAGTAAACTATTAAAAACAGGAACAAATTCTAACGTCCTAACTTGACGATTATAAAGTATAAATCTTTGGGGGTTAGGGGTATTTATGTTAAACTTTTGCAATAAAGCATCGCGGAACAAGGGAAAAGCATAACACCCGTAGAGTTAAGTGGACTTTCAATTTTCATTTAATTTGATAGTTGGAATTCATATAATTTACATCGAATTTGTAAATGGAAATAAATGTCCCACCGCAGCAGTTAGAACCACATAATGAGCCACCGGAGGGTTGTACAAATTTTCAAATACTGTTGCTAACACATAGCGCAACTATTATTTCGAAATCAGATGAAATCTCAAGCGAAGGCTGCCCGGTGAAGAATTGTACATGGAATGTTACATTTCGATAAAGTCTCAAAAGGCTTCGTTGTCTTTGCAAATTCACGACAATCGTAAAAGGTTCGAACAAAGTCGTTTGTGAGATCTCAGCTTGTCACAAATTGCCGACGATTTCACGAGCAAAGGTTGCCGCCGCGTGCCACTTGCAACCGGGTTTGCAAGTTCATTTCACCGCCGTAAAGGGTAAAGATGGTGAAATACGATCGCGGCGAGGAGAAGTGTTGTCGCAAGCAAGCCCGAAAAGCCAGAAATAGTCGGCGAAGACGATTTCCGGTCTCGTTACTTTTCCCCACGGTTGCGTCGACGTCGATGGGAAAGGCTCGACGGAGCAATTACTCTCAGCGATACCACGGGTGTTTAAGGCTCGTGGGACGACGTTATAGCCTCCTTCGGATAAGCTCCTTTCTCCTTAATTAACCAAAGGCCACCGGTATCGAGATGTAGATAAGGATTTCATCGCGTGGCAGGCTCGACCTTAATTTCACTGAAATCCCGTTCCCTTCCAGCAACGTCTCTTCTTCCATACCTTCGAGTCTAATGACACTCGACTCGGTTATTTTTAGGCCCTCCCTTTTCATCCGTTTTCGCCCGCCAAAAAGAAAAAAAAGAAAAAGAAGGAAATATGGCCCTCCCTTTTGTCAATCGCGATCGAGGATCATCCGTTGCGATAGGCCGCGTCGACTCTCTCCTTCCTGTAATTTGTTAACAGTTTCTAATCGAGAGATTCAACATTCGGGGAATATTTACGGTAGAAATTTTAGCATCATTCGTTAATAAAGAGTATGAAATTCTCTCTCAACTTTTTGCAATTTTAATATCGTTGACGCTGTACCTGATCATCATCGCGATAGAAATGTTTGATACTCTTTCCAATTTTCATCGCAAAATGGTCGCCAAGATCCACGAGTAATAGTTTCTGCTTTTCAAAACTTTTCGCTATTTCTGTACGATTCGTCCCTGGCCTAGAACTTCGAAACTCTCGTCCGTCCACGATCGAGAGCAATAACAGATTAGCGACTCTTAAAACACGGTGCAATAAGCAATGGGATCATGTTTTAGAGCGTAACTACGTAAGTAAATATACATACTTACACTTAGCCACACGAGGCGCATGTGCGGCGTTTGCAAGTGTTTGGTTTCTTTCTCTTGCGAGTGTGCCGTGAGTTTGGCCCTGCCAATCAGAGAACCGATCGTCGTTGCTGGAAATTACGACGACGAACGACTGGTGTGATCGGTGCGCAATCAATTTTCTACGTTTCAGCATCGAGGAGTCGAGCTGCGTCGCGCGCAGTCTGCCGTTGCCCGAGCGCAGAAAAGTCGCGAACGCGATTTTCATTCACCGTCGCTTCGATCCGCGTCGGTCGTTCAATGGATAGTAGACGGAGATCGAAATTTTTGCGAAGAAGAGCAACCGGGAATCCTCAGATTTTTCTTAAACGCCGCTGCAACGGAGACTCTCGTTTACGCGCGTTGCGAAACTTCCACGATGACGGGAACGCAACAAGTTTCGATAGTCGCCGCGTCCAATTTTGTAACTCACTTCGCCCGAAGATGTCGATTCGAGATGCCACGTTTCGCACGCGTGGGTGATTGAAATCGAGGTGAAACGAGGATCTTGCCAGCCGCGTTTGCGAAAGTTTGCGACCGAACCAGCCAAATCGAAACAATGCCGAGCATTCTGATTTCCAACTCGCCCCGTCTTGAGATTTCAATTCGACCACGGTTTCTTTTATCTTTTTTTTTTTTTTTTTTTGCCACGTTTGCTCGTATTGTGAAATCGTATCTTTGCCGATAGTCGTGAAACGACGCGATCGCCCAGGCGAGCTGCAAGAGGAACGGGGGACGATGATCCTGGACGCGCGTCGCGATCTCGAAAAATCGCCATCAGCCGGATATCAGGCGAGGCGATGGAAAAGATTGAGAGAGAGAGAGAGAATAAAGAAAGAAAACGAGAGAGAGAGAGAGAGAGAAATTCTGGATCCAGCCTCGAGATCCTCGAACGAGAAGGAACGTGTGCACGAGAGCACCAGAGCACCCCCTAAGTACGCATTCCGCCCGAAGGACCCGCATTTCGCCATCGATTCGCACGATTTCCTCTTCCGGTTACACTCGAACCGCCGCAATCTCCGAGTGCGAGTTCTTTCTCACCTCGGGCTCGGTCTTTGCTTTTCGCGTCCTCGATCGTCTAATCGAACTGGGTCAGCACGAACACCTTTCTCGAAAGGGGGAGAGAGAGAGAACGGGGAGGGGAAAATCTCGAATCGGTAGGAACACGCGAGGCCGACGACGTCGACAAAAATTACCATATTTGCCTTTTGCCGTTTTCTTTTGATCGCGTTATTTTTATTCCCGGCATTTCGTCACTCGCGTCACATCGATTTTCTTCTGCGTCGTCTTTCGCTCGTTTTCGTTTCTTTATTTACGGAAACACAACCGCGGGGTTATCGTTTCATTTCGTTTCTCGCAAAAGAAAGTTTCATTTTTATGAATTATTATTGCACCTTGTCTAACGATCGTGTTTTACTTTCGTTTAACGACGCTCTGCTCCGTTATCAATAAACAAGCAGACGAGTAAAAATAACAAGCGAAAGAAACACGAGCGGCAAATACGAGAGGAAACCGATGGAATTAGCGTGGCTCGTAACTTAATCTGCATCGGGACGTCTGAAAACGTTTAATCGTTAATCATCAAACAAAATAAAAGCGGAACGCTACCTACTTTCTGCACCCTGTTCTTTTCGACGGAGCAGGTTTGTAATTAATTACGAATCGATGGACGGTTCGGGAGGATTGGCGTTTTGTTTGGCGAACGGAAGAGGGCGGATAAGAAGCAGAAAGCCTTCGGGCGCGAACGCAAAAGGAGATTATGCACCGCATGCTGTATTTTTGCACGAGCAACGAGTGTTCTTTCCGTTTTTTGTTTTCTCTCTCTTTTTTCCTTTCGTTTCTTTTATTTTTCATAGACGTTTCGTGCACGTTCTCAGCCTGCATGCTCGTATTTTTCTAATTCTGTCTGTGGATGCGCATGCCCGTCGATTAATCGCCCACCATGACTCTTTTACTCTCTGTTACTCGACTCACTACTCGATCCTCTCTGCTCCTCTTTTTTTTCGATCTAAATACTGTCGAACGAACGCCGGATCGAATTTCCTCTAGGTTCGCTGCGAAGATCCGAGAGAGCGAGAAAAAGGTAACGAAACCGTTCAGGAATAATCTACAAATTACTCCAGCGAGGAAGAAAAAAGAAAAAAAAGAACGAAAAATCGTCTCTCGCTCACTTTTTCTGTTTCTGTTTCTTCGACAGCGTGGCGTGATATTTATCAACGATAGAAACGTCGAATGACGAAAAACTCATCGTCCGTTAAGAGAAGCCACGTTCCAGCTATCCATGCTTGGCCTTTTGACCTAACCCTAACCGCCGACCCCTTTTCAATTCTTCTATTTCGATGCTGAAGCGTAAAGGAGACCTTTCAACGTTGTAGAAGAAGAGCCGAAGCTGCCCTTTAAACTTCGCAGCACGCGGCACCGCACACGGATGAACACTTCGTGCAGCACGAACCCACGAACTGTATACCAAGGGGGTAGACTCTTCTGGTGAAGCGAATATTTTCGTTTCGCTTGGTCTGGTTCCGCGTGGACCTGCGTCGCCGCGTGGCAAAGATTCCAGGTAAAGATCAAGAAGAAGAAGAAACGCCAGAAGGGAGTACAGGGTTAAACGAACCAGGACGTAATCGGAATCGACGAGAGACTTGGAGGTTCCTTTTGCTGCCGTTCCTTGCCAACTCCGGCCGACGACAAACGGGCTAAGCAAACGCCCTCTCGCGAGCAGCTGCCTCCAGTTCGAGCAACGATCTCTCCAGAGAAAGATAGATAGATAGAGAGAGAGAGAGAGAGAGAGAGAGAAAGAGAGAAATAGAAGGATGAGGGGAGAGATTCTTCTTTTTGCACGTCACAAAGTTGATCGGCTTTTGGTACGACTGCGGGACGATAATGCTACCCGACAGAGAGCTTGTCGCTGGAGTAATTTGCTGGTTAACCCAAAGTTCATGCCGCGTGTTTCCTGAAAGAACAACTGTTCTTCGTTCTGAAGACAAGCGTCGTCAATTTTGCGAGTTCAGTTTCAAGTTCGTCAAGAAGCCAACGGTAGGTACGGGATGCTCTCGAAACGAGCGTTGAAAGCTTTTCGTAACACTCCGTACGAGCGGTTGGTTTCTTCGTCGCAGCTGGTTTCTTCGACGACAGCGAAACAAACACCGTGTTCGGTTTTCAGAAACGCGTTCCTCACCAACTACCAACCAATTCTGACCACCGTCTCACAACTCTCACCCACTGTCACGATATCACCACGGTGTCACCACGACCACAAGAGTAGCACGTAGCACGCGAAACCCGTCCGTGCACGTGTACCGATGCGATCACGCACCCCACTCACCCCGTTCTCGTCCGCGTCTCTGCTTCTCTGTTACAGAGTTCCTGCCCTCCTCCACCTCCATAGACCTGTCGGGCACGGACTCGGCCCTGTATCCGTTCGACCCGCAGCAGGAGAGCTACCAGGAGATCTGGTTACCACCGACCAGTATGTACCCCTATTTTCTGTTCCCCGGGGCCGCGCGCACCTCGTACTACGACCACGAGAGCACGTACGACGTCCAGGAGCCGGGACAGAGGCGTCAGCACGGCCACCGTCATCAGCACGGCCGCCATCAGGAAGCACCGGAGTTGCCTGGCAGGCCCGGTGTCCTCGTGGTCGAAACGTACGATCCTCGTGCCGATCACGAGAACCGGCAGGAGGCTCGTGCTGGTACCGACGACGAGCATCGGCCTCTGTACAGGGAGAAAGATGCGGACGATCGTGAAATGGAGGGACCTGAGAGCTTCTATGATCGCGGCTCTTCTTCTTCTTCTTCTTCCTCTTCTTCCTCTTCTTCTTTTTCTTCGTCATCGTCATCTTCTTCTTCTTCATCATCATCATCATCATCATCTTCTTCTTCATCTTCTTCTTCTTCTTCTTTTTCTTCTTCTTCTTCTTCTTCTTCTTCCACGTTGTCCAAGCATGATCGTGCCTCCAGCACAGTGCACCTGCAGCCAAGGCACTCCCAAAGCGAGCATGACGCGCACCTGCACCATCATCACCATCACCAGCACCACCAGCACCACCAGTACCACCCTGCACCACCCGCACCACCGTCCGCCGCGACGTCGTCTTCGTCTTCGTCGTCGTCGTCGTCGTCGTTGTCATCGTCGTCGTCGTCGTGGTCGAGTTATCCGCCGCCGGCTCGTCCAACGCCTACCGTGGACGAGACGAAACGAATCGAGAGGCCTGACCTTGTCCAGCCGAAGAAATTCGCACCGAGGCCCACCTACGAGCACCGGGCAATCTTCGATCGCGCCGACGACGACCTCGATGACGAGTTCAGGATCGGCGCGCTACCAGTCGACCGGCTCTTCGATCTCCGCGAGGCCTTCGAAGGGTTCGTCGACCAAGGTTCGTACACCGGTGTCAAGGTGCGCCAGACACCATCGATCGCGGCTCCTCGACCAATCGAGCGCCGCCGCCGTCGCGTCGTTGCTCGCGTATTCTAGCCCGCCAACAAAAAAAAAAAAAATAAAAGTATCAAGTCGCCGTCTCCGCGACTTCCAAACTGTTAACCTTTTTCAGTCGATTGTACTTCCCGTCGTTGAAAATTGAACTTGGACCTGTGCACCTGTTCGCAGGGAGGGTGGGGGGGGGGAGGGCGACTCGTTACTTTGAACAACGCAGACGAACGCAGCCGCGTGCACTCGCGACGACTCGACGCCAGGTCGCGCAGAGTGCAACGAGTTGTCGAGATCGAATCGACCACGCCGGAACTACGTATCGATCCGATTGTTCTCCAAGCGTTTCCAAACCGTGTTGCGTCGACTCTGCTTCCCATTAATTTGTTAAAACCAGGCGCCACTGTCTGGAAGATCGCAGCAACCTGCCTTGCGACGCGTTGACAACAGCAGAAATTCGTCTCGATCTGACTGCTGATCGCTGAATCTATGATTATGACCATCAGATGCGTCAGTGTCTTGCCATTGCACTCTCGTAGAACGCGAAATTTTTACGGACATCAGCCGACGTTTTACCTCGTTTTACGTCTTCTATGAAATTTGAAAATTCCGCGTGTGAACGCGTCGTTAAGGTTGAAATGAACGTCCGACGAGCGCGTGGGAATTTGACGATCGGTCTTTCGTCCCGAAATTTAACCTCTTGCGCTGGGAATGACGTACTACGCACGTCGAGAATTTTTTCTGCCAAAATGACAATATTTCCTCAGTTTTGAATATATTTATGTATAGACGAAACAAGTAATAAATTTATTACTTCTCGATAATTTCTGTCCAGTGATATCGGTACCGACGAGTTCAAAAAGAGAGCGACGAATTATTTTATACGGTTCGGTCACCCGTTATGGTCCGCGAATCAGTTGCCAGCGCAAGAGGTTGAGGTCTGTCGATCTTTAAGAAGGTCTCCTTTAACCTAGCGACGCCGGCGAACATTTTCGAAAATAGTTTCGAGAAAGCTGTTTTTTTCTGCGCCGCTTGGAGCTAGGTCGCTCGATTTCGCGCGAGGAACGAGCGGTTCCCCTTTAGTCGCACGCTGCTATACGGAAACGCGTCGAATCGAATGAACGCGATCAGACCCGCCAAAGCTTTCCCTCCATGCTCCGTTACGTTTGCTCGTTTACAGTGAAGGTCATCTCGCATCCGGACAACTCGACCAGTTTCGAGGTGATCGAATCGCAGTTGGAGAACCCGCTGATCGACGCCGACCATCACGATCTCGTTGCCATGAAGCAGATACCTGTTCCCGGTGGACATCATCACAAGACGCAGCACAAGAGGAACCAGACGGACGATCGGAATCGTGAGTATATCTTGCATTTTTCCACGCGCGTTGATAAACGACGAGAATTCATTGATAAACTGCGGATAGAGCATATAGAAGGTGCTGAACTTTACATACGTGTTGTGTGTTATTTGTATATGGGGACATAATTAGGAGAACAAAACATATAGGAAGTATTAAATTTTAGATATTTTACATATGTACGTATTGTGTGTTACTTGTATATGGGGATATAATTAAAAAAATAAAACATATAGGAAGTACTTTGGATATTTTACATACATGTCGCGTGTTATTTATATGTGCAGATATAATTAACAAAATAGGAAGTACGGTGCTATATTGAGAAAATAGAACATGTAGGAAGTTTCATACTTTAGATATTTCACATACATATACGTATTATGTATTATTTGCATCGTTTGTAATAATTATGTGGGGATATAATTTATAAAATAGAACATATAGGAAGTACTTTGGATATATTATATACGTATCGTGTATTATTTCTATAATTTGTAACAATTACAATCAGTTAATATTGTGATATTAATATTGCACACGTATTATCGATATTATTATACACGTCAGTGCAATTTTACACTACGAGAGTTTCTACAAACGAACAGAGAAATCCGCAGTTTATTAATTAACATATGGAAGACTGGGAATACCACAGAAATAAGTTGATACACTGTCGTTGCGTACGTCCTTTTCTTTCATTATAAAAATCTCACCGTACGTTACCGAGTTACGAGAACGCATCAGGACAGAGAGAACAAAGTTGAAATTTAATTAAAATCGAATTCTTCAGTCCGTCCTTACTTTACTCGTCGCTCTGTGCGCGAACGCGCGAGTACTTTGCGCATAAAAGTTCCATCATCAAGGTTCCCTCCGACTCCTCTTTCGACTGTCTCCGAAGCACGGATCCTCGATCCTCCTGAATTAAAAAAAAAAGTTCCACTTTTGATCCGCGAGACGGAGGAAGCGACTTCTAATTAAAACGCGGAAAACAAGCGTGTCACGAAGCAGGAGCAGAGCGTAGGGAGGGAGGTGGGAGGTGAAGGAAAGAGTCTGGTGCCCGGACGGGGCAATTGAACTTCCGCAGACGCGAGGCTTATCGACGATTTATTTCGCTGCCGCCTCGAGTCGGCCCCCGGGACGAGATACGTGGATTCCGGCCGAAAAGTTACGTCGGCTGGTCGGGATTAAAGTTCGAAATCCCGGCGTACTCGGGAAATAATATGAGGAGATACGAGGGAAACGGGACGGAAATGAGGGGACCCAGAGACGAAATTAAATTAAAGTTTCACGGTGATAAGTCCTGTTGGTAGGAAGGGACAGAGAAAGGGAAAGAAAGAAAGAGAGAGAGAGAGAGAGAGAGAGAGAGAGGATTCGCGGTAAGCGATATTACGCGTCAGATCGATTTCGCGGGCGAACTTTCACGCTCGCGGCCGTGCGGTAGAAAAATTTACTCGGGGTCTCCTCCGACCCTTGGCTCTCGAGTTTGTACCGCGATAATTTCGCCGGATAATTTCGCGCGGTGCGCCCAACGTCGAGTATGGCTCGTCTCGACGTTGAAATTGCCGTAACGTAAGAGCGGGGAGCGTCGACGTCGAGTTGAAAAGACGGTTCCAGCCGGGAACGCCAACCCGGATACATATTTTCCCGGAGAGACCGTCGTAACTCGCGGAACTTGATGGATGGACGAGTTGCGCCGTGTTAACAAGAACAAAACTATGGTCAGCATAATTCCACCGGCAAATATGCGCCGTTTCGCAGGCTGTAAATCCTTCGCGGGCTTGTGAAAAATGCACGGGAGGGGGGAGGAGGCGGAGAGTACAATTTTCGTGTGAACAGAGCCGTGTTTCGCACGCTCCCAGCTGAACCGATCCTCCGGCTCCGCTGTTTGACCAGAAGAGTAAAAGAAGCTCTTCGTCAACGTTTGAACTTCTCCCGGGGCAAGATGCGATTCGTTTCTCTGAAAATTTCTCGCGCTATAGCGCGACCAAGTTTTTTTTCTGGTTGTCGGGCTAGGTAAAGAGAGGAACGCTCGTTTTTTGAGTAATTTTGGTGACTGGACCGTCAGGAAACCTCTTTTGTGCAACGAATGGTCTTCTAATTACACGCGTTAGTTGTTGGTTATTATCATTATCAGCTATATTATTAACACTATCAATAATACAGACTCACCTAAGGGAGGTTTTAGTGTATTCCACCGTGTTCGAAGAAACTTTAGAGTTATCCATTCTAACCTTCTGAAATATTCTACACGATCACGTTGTCTCCCCATGTAAATACTTTCGTAAAATATATCTTTTTCTACATATCCTAGAAACGTGTCACAGCCAAATGCGTACCTAACGAAGACCCAAGAAAAGATAAGAGATTCAAACATGCTTAAACCTCGTCAGAGAATCAAAATCCAATCTCGTGAGAATGAAAATCGAAACTCTTGAGATGGAAACGCAGGATTCGATTCACTCGTTCATGATCGATCGATTGAAAAATCCTTCGCGAAATTGCCAGAAAATTACGACTTTAGATCGATCATTAATCGAAACAACGCGCCACTGTGATGTGAAAATTAAAAGGCAGGTCTAGCCAGGTCGGAGGTCCATTGAAGATAGTATGGGAGGAAGGAGGTAAAAATCAGCAGGAAGGAAGACGGATGCGAGCGATCGCGGGGACAGAAAGCCGTAGGGTGGGCGCCAGCGCGAACTATAACGCATCGAGAATTGATTGCATCCGGATCGAACGGCGGGTAATTATCCTTGGTTATCCTTTAATCCAGCGATTACCCGCGTATCGATGTTCCGTCGGGTGATTGATTCGAACGAAACGGCCTCTCCTACGCCTCGGCAAGCAACGCGAGGCGAACGCGTCCCGGTGTTCAGCGATCCGTTTGGAAGAAACCCGTGGATGATGGATTTTTTTTTTTTCTCTTTCTCTCTCTGAGCGAGATATCGATCCGAAATGTGAACGCGAGGGATCGATGCCGCGGAAGATCGTTCGGCGGTTATCCGTTTTTGCTGCTTAGTTCGCTAGACAAAAACAGAAAAAGAAAGTGACTTTTGTTGAAAAGATTTCACGTCAGTCAATCTTATAATTCTAAACGATTTTGCAATTAAAATGGCAATTAGAATTAATAGACCAAAGAAATCGTAAGCACGAAGATGAACCGAAATACAAATATCGTTTGAAATTTTTATTGTAGGTTACACGAAATATTTGCAAGTGTAATTTCATACTCTTCATTCGGCAGAGTAGTTTCTCTAAATTATTCATTCAACGCTAGAATTATCGAGCTGGTAAAAATGTTTCCTAATTTTTATTAGATATACATCACAGACGTGAAACGGTATACTTTTAGAGATTTAAATGATTATTTATAAAATACATAAATAAAAGTTTGTGCATCCCATTGCATTTTTCCTATTCTTTTTTTTTTCATTTTAATATCTCTGATGAAAATTCTCTACGCTGTAGTCGTCGGTAGTTTTAATGTTAAATTATCCTTGTTTCCAAACAACATTCGTTGCTGTTACCGTACCAGTCTGTCTCCATTTTCACACGTTGTTAACACGTTGCTCGTGACATAATTCAATCAATTATGTTAAACAATGCTTCGTAGACACTAGTCCGTAATCAACATTGCTAATAAAACGATGCCTTTTCAATCAAGAACCAACTAACAACGTTGAATCTTCGGTTACTGACAACCGAGCGTAGATGTTCGATGAGTAACGACAGTTGCCATCGTCATTGATCACGAACGTGTTCGAGAAACACAAAATCATCGTGGAAATCCATCGTCAGACGCACACACGTATGTGTGTGTGTGTGTTCACCGAGGCAATGAAAATCGAATCGATCGCTTTTTCCTCGAACGGCGCACCGGAGGACTGGAAACTGCTCGCGTAGAAGGTGTAATCAAGCCGGCTTTCACCTTGGCGTTGGAACAAACGCGCATTTCCCGCCATTCGTCGCGTCCTAATTAAAATTCGTTGGGCCGTGTTTCTCCTCGGTGGACGAGACGCCGCGCGCACGCCTAACGAGTCGCTATTTTCCGCCGGTTCGAAAAGTCGAATCCTCGACGGACTTGAGCGCCGCTGGAATTTCGCATTCATATATTCAATTTCGGTGGAGCGGCCTGCCGGGACCGGAAACTCGTTTCGTCGTTCGAGCGAGGATCTTGCGATGCAGTCGAGACTCTGTTCGAAAAATCGAACCGATAGGTTCCCTCCTCCCGTTCCATCGCGGTGAAAAAGGAAGAAAAAAGAAAAAATTGGAGAAGATGAGAAACGAGGTGCTAGCTAGGTGGAATTTGCAAAGAATCGAAGAGACCGAGGCAAATTGATACAGTGAAATTATCTGCAACCGGTTCTGTCCAATACCGTGCACTGCTCGACGTATCGAGGACAGCTTTTACGTTGATGAAATTAACGGCTCTGCCTTGACTTATTAAATCACTCGAGATGTAATAAAAAGAAACGAATTAATAACGTAACAAGCAGTTACGATGATCACGGATCGAAGACACGGAAGCAGAAATAGAAATTCAAATTGAAACAGATTTTTAACATTATTTTTCGCAATGGCGTTGCGTTACATTTTCCGGCCACTTTGTATAAAGAAATCGGGTCGACATCTATCTCTGTCAAGTGATTAATTGAAAAAAAGAGAAAATAAAAAAGTTTTGAGGCCTCGTTCTCGCTTACACGCCGAAACGCGAAGGTCGAAAGCCGGTCGATCGAGGGACGTTGAAAATTTGATATAAAGGCAGACTTATCCACAGAGATTGCCCCCGAAATGGGAAAGAAAGTTTCGTCGGTTTGCTCCATTATCTTGATGGAACTTTATTGGATATTCTTTGGTTCATCGGATAACTGCTTCTCGTTGGGCCTGTGATGCTGCATCTTGGAAACTTCTCGTTCTTCCCCCGCTGGTTACTTTGTACCATCGCGAAATCATTCTCGAACCGTCTAACATCATCGTTCAATTTAAAACTCCGTGAC